AGACCACCAAGAGACTTGTCTCATGCAAAAGCAAAGGGTTTATGGGGGGGGGGGGAACCAGCATGCTGGGGCCCAGAGTTCTCCTGAGAGAAACTGGAGCCCCGAGTACAGCTTAAGCAAAGTTTTTATATAGTGTTTAAACAGGGAAGTTCATATGGCAGTTAGGGTGCGAGAGTGGGGTTGTTACAAAATAACCATTACAGAATAATCATGCGTTTTGTCAGGGGGTGTTGGGCCAGGGTACATTTTGACATAAGTAACTGTTTTTAACATAAGTTTCCGGTTCCAGGAAAACAGAACTTAAACTTACAGAAAAGCAAAACTTAAACTTAACAGGAGAGAAAAACTTAAATTTAACCTTTACACTGCCATCAGGAAAAACGACCTAGGTAGTCCTGACTTTGCTTCAGGCTTATTACATTATCTCCTTTAAACCTTGGCAAGATCTTGCAAGGTTGGTATGTATTACCCCCATGATATAAAGAAGACAGCWGAGGCTCCGACAGGTTACAAGGAACCGGATTCAAACTCAGGCCCCTCGGGCTCTAAGGCCTGCCCTCTTTCCCCCGTGTTAGCCACRTGGGGTCCTTACACCTCTCACTCAGGAGACAGATGTAAATCCCAGAGTTCCTCAGACAGATGACTCCTGCCTCCACCAGTGGTCACTTCTGGTGACTTTAAAGGAATCTCCCTTTAGACTTTGACCTTACAAGACCAGCTCTAGTCTCTGACAGCTATCCATCCCAGAGAGACCCACCATAACTCAGGTACTCAGCAGCTTCCTACAGCATGAAAAACTCCAGTATGTAAGCTCCAGGCAGACTGGCAAGTTTGGGGTACACAATGGTCTTAGAACCTGGTGTTTCCAACTTGAATGATTAGTCTGACATCCAGTTACAACCCAGTTTACTCAGATCAGCTGCTAAGCCCTGGCTGTTCCAGGTAGGGTCCATGGACTGGCAGCATCATGATATCATCTGGGGGCCTGTTATAAAGGAGGACTGTCGGGCCCCACTCCAGACCCTCTGAATCAGAGTGCATGTTAACATTCTGCTTCCCGTGACTGGGACGCACATTAATGTTTTAAAAGCACTGCTCTAGAATTACCTAGGAGGTTTTTTTAAAAGTGTGAATTTGCAAGGAGTCCAGAATTCTAGAGAAAGGGGTGGAGGAGTAGAGGGAGGCCTCCAAAATGTCTATTAAAAAAAAATATATATTTTTCTTTTGGTCCCACTTCCTAAGAGAAATCAAACCCCTTTTTGGCTAGAATCAAAGAACAACTTTTTTTTTTTTTTTTTTTTTTGGTCAATGGCTTCTCCTATAGCTAGTAGACACTGCCTCCTCCCTAGGGGTAATGCCAGACTCATCTCAAAGGCTCTTAGACTGAGGGCATTAAATGAATGTAGCAATGCTGCTGAAATCAGAGCTTTCTCTTCCTGGTTGTTCCCCATTCTCCCTGTTCCCAATCATCAAGGAGGTTTAGCCTATCATCCCCATATCAATAACAGGACTCTTGTGTTTTATTTTCTCCTGATCCACTGCCTCAATCTGGTACAAGTGAAGGAAGGAAGGAAGGAAGGAAGGGAGGGAGAGAGGGAGGAGAGGGAAGGAGGGAACAAAAGAAATTAACATGTTAAAAATCTGTATGTCAGGCCCATCCCATCCTCCAAAGCCATTTACATATATTTCCCAATTAATATACATAAAAATATTTAAGATTGATATTTTTGCTCCAGTTTTCAGAAATGGACACTTTGTAGGAGGACCTCAGGGGCAGAGCATATGCTTAGCATGCTCAAGGTCTGGATTTAATTCTAGCACAGAGGGTAGAGAGGTGAACAGTGGAGACAAAAGTTTAAGTAGGTTAAAGGTTCTCCCAAAGCCAGGATTCTGAACAGATATAATACTTAAGCCCTGACACAATCCTTCTACTATCCAACTTGCCTGCATGACTAAAATATTTATTGTGAGATAATTCACATACCACAAAATTCAACTCAGGGGTTTTTAGTATATTCACAAGGTTATAATACCATAATCACTATTTCCAGAACATTTTCTTTACCCCTAAAATAAACCCCAAACCAATTAGCAGTCATTTTCCTTTCACCCTTTCCCCTAGTACCTGGAAACCACTTTCTATCTCCATGAATTTGCATAATCTGGATATTTTGTGTAAACAAAAGCACACAATATGTGGTCTTTTGTGTCTGGCTTCTTTCACTCAGCATAATCTTTTTAAGGTTTACCCATGTTGTAGCATGTATCAGTATTTCATTCCTTTCCCATAGCTGTATAATAGTCCATAGACATACCACATTTTGTTTCTCCATTCACAAGTAAATGGATAAAGGATTGTTWCCACTTTTTGGCTATTTTGAATAATGTTTCTATAAACACTCATGCAGAAGTTTTTGCATGGACATATGCTTTTATTTGGGGGAGGCATATACCTAGCAGTGGAGTCCTTTGACTGTATAGTATGAACTCCATGTCCAATTTTCTGAAGAAATTTCAAATTGTTTTCTAAAATAATTGCATCATTTTATATTCCCCACCAGCAATGCATGAGGCTTTCAGTGTCTCCATATCTTTGCCAACACTTGTTATTCTGTGTTATTTTGATTATAGACTGTAAAGTAGTATCTCATTGTATGGTATCGTGTGTGTGTATGTGTGTGTGTACACCCACACTGGGATTGAACCTAGGGCCTTGTGAATACTAGGCAAGCTCTACAACAGTCCTTTTTTTTTTTTTTTTTTTTTTGAGATAGTCTCACTAAGTTGTCAGAGCTCCTCTTGAACTTTAGATCTTACCTCGGTCTCCCAAGCAGCTAGAATTCTAGGATCACCACCCCACCCAGCTTGAGCATTTGTATTTCTTTTTAGAGAAAGTGTTCAAATCCTTTGCCATTTAATTAGATTATATGTCCTCTTCTGTTGAGTTACAAATGTTCTTTTATATTCTGGATAGTAGGCCCTTACAGATACATGATTTGCAAATATCATCTCCCATGTTTTAAGTTCTCTTTTTCACTCATAGTACCCTTGGAAGTACAAAACCTTTTAGTTTTGATAAAGTTAAATTTACCTATTTTATTTTCTTTGCTTATTTTTGCTTTAGGCATCATACCTAATAAACCACTGCCTAAACAAAGGTCATGAAAATTTACATCTACATTTTTTTCTAAGAATTTAGTAGTTTCACATTTAGTTCCTTGATTCATCTGGAATTAATTTTTAACAGCATAAGGCAGGGGTCCAGCTTCATTCTTTTGCATGTGGAAGTCCAGTTGTCCCAAGACCATCTTTGCTAAGTGCTTCTCTGTGTTYATTTTAGGGCATGCCTTAGACCAGGTAGGCACCTGGTCAGGTGGGCAGTTTACAACTCTGCTTTARCCTTCACCTCCTGCCTGTCAAAGCTTCAAGTTCAGMCAAATGGGAGAGACATTTCTTGGGTATTTCCTGGGCATGTTCGTGGCCCCACACAAGCACATGGCTTTCAGGATTCCCAAGAATTTGTTTGAACTTTTTAAAGCCCACTGTGGACTTCTCATCCTCTAGTCTTTTCTTTTGATTTTGGCTCAGTCTCTTGTTCGTCCCAATGGAATCATTGCCTCAGGAAGTGGCAAATGTTTAAAAATTCCTGCTGATTTTTTTCATGTTTTTATTAGCATATTATATTTATGCATACTATTTTGGTKCATTCTGACGTAATCATATTGATTTTTTTTTTACAAAAATCATAGTGATAAGACTGTTCACACAGAGAAAGTTCTGAGTCAGGTGAAATAAAGACAAACTCAGAATTCAACTTTATAAAGCAACTTCCAAATACTGATCCATAGTGGCAGTTCTCTATGATGAGAGTTTTTTGGAAAGCTCCAAGCCCATGCTGTCCCCTTCCCTTGGCTGCTATTTTGCTGGTCTTCACAGTTACCATAGGTATAAGGTTGTTTGCTTACAAGGCCCCCATGGAGATGGGGCCAGGGAGTAGAACGAGACAGGTTAAAATGCCTCAAGGCTTACTGTTCTTGGTGATAWCCAACCACTTTTTTTAAATGAATATTTGTAGACTGTTGCAGGACTTTTGTTTAATTTCCAGAGTTCTAAAAAAGTTGATCTTGGCCAGTGTTCTTATAGTTTTATGGAGGAATGGCTTTATCAGAGATCCTCACTCTATTACTTTAAGTTCTTCTCTCGAAGGAACACTTTATAAATATTACCTTGATTCAATCCTACATTCTGGGGGTATTTTTGTTTTGTTTTGTTTGTTTGTACTCACAAAGTACCCTATTTCTTTCCTCTTTTCTCCTTCAGTGAGTAAATTATAAAATTCAGAGGGGAGATGTGGAAAAAAAATCCTATTTCCTGATTTTTTTTTCTTTAATAGTTTCCTTGTATTATGRCACTATGGACCAAAGTGTCAGGAACAAGGTGGACCTAAGCTGTTTCCTTCCAAAGAAATAAAGAAAAATCTATATTCAGTCTTTCTGGCTCTGTACCAGTCACGAAATGAACTCGAGATTGGAGACATTTCAATTAAGGAGGATTGGAAAAGGATGTGTAATAACTCAACAAAAGAGGGCTCCTGCACCCAGATTTCTTGCAGGAGAAAGAACAGAGCTTTTAAACAGACCAAGTATGTGGTAATTYCTTGTGTTGAATTTCCCTCTGTCGGTGTTGAACACTTCTCAACTGCTTTCCCCAAATAGCAGATGCTGAGATGAGTGAGAGCAAAATGAAACTCTAAGTAAGTTGAACATTTCCCTTCTTGAGCAAAACTGGAGTAAGTAGGTAAAGGATCATTAGGGACAGGTGACTAGCAACTGGTGATTCATCATTGCTAGTGATGTCTTGAACCAAATTCCAGAAGGCAGTGTRCTTCCAGGAGGGGTGGGACAAAGATTTGCATGTCTGACCTCATGCAGAAGCTCAGCCCCAGAGAATATAAACAGGGGAGCGGTCTTTGTCCGCCTCACCAGTGCCAGGCTCAGCCACTTCCAAACACAGCAAAGCCATGGCAGTCCCCCGATCCATGTTGCTACAACTGGGGCTGTCTCTGTGCTGTGCACTATACTTTTCTTCTGCCAGCCCTACACAATACAAAGACAACTGCATGGTCTTTGACACATCCGTCACCACCAACAACTCCAACATCACAGTCACCCCAGACGTCTTTGAGAACAACATAAACTACACAGGTGAGTAAAAGCCATTCTTTCTGCTGTCCCTTGTTCTCTGAGGGGGTATGAGTCACAGGTTCAGAGCACACCCCTCCTTCCCTGCTTTCAGTTACGCAAAACATATGCTTTTAAATTGGTCGGGAAGTGAGGGAAGAAAGAGAAAGAACAAAACTATGTGAGAAAGTGGACCAAGGGRACTATTTCTGCTGGTTCCCTGGACCACAGAGGCATGGCAGTCCAAGGCCCAGATTAACTAAGCCCAGCAAAAGCACACCTGGCACAAATTCTCTGACAGATAATAATGGGCATTTTTACCATTTTAAGGGCCATAACTGCGTTCGTTGCGGCATATAGTCTTTTTTTTTTTACATCCATTTGACAAAACAGTGACGCAGTGATGATCATACAATTCCAGGAGGCCTCATTTGCACTTAACCTAATGGGCAAAAAATCTTACCAACTAGACAGATGGGGAAAACATCACCATCCCACTTTATATGTGAGAAACTCGGAGCTGAAAGAGGTTAAATGCTGTGCTCAGGGTCTCACTGCTAGCCGGTGGCAGAACCAGCTCTTGATTCTTGGTCTTTCTATTCTTAATCCAATGTTTTCCTTAGAAGTGTCTAAGAAAATATTTTATAAATCCCCTTTGGGGAATCAGTCAAACTCAGAAGTCGAGGAACATGCTCTCTGTCCTGGATTGAACCTAGTAACCCCAGTACCACACACACAMAAAAAAAGAATGTGGGTTCTAATTAGTTTCATGAGGCAGCAACAATGTTTGACATGATGCTTTATATGTAAGAATGTATTTAGTCCACAGACTGAGGCACAAATGCTAAGTGACTTCCTCAGGCCACAGGGCACCTGGAACTGTGGAGCTGGCATATGAACCAGAGACCTGACCCTGACTGCACATCTCTTAATTACAGAAATGAGAGCCAACACTCTTTACTACGTGCTGGGTACTATCTAAGGGATATTATTGTCCCAGGAGAATGGAGGCACAGACAAGTTCAAAATTTCCCCAAGGTCACTAGAACGTAACAGAGCTAATATTTGATCCTAAATAACAAGGTCTGTCTAGCTTCAGATCCAGTCTTCTTATCCCCTAWGCTATCCCGCCTCTCTTAAAAGTCGAACCACATCTTGCAGAGAACTCCGGGGTGACAGCTGCACTCACAGTCTCCAGATTCTTGACCTCCGCAGGTGAACAACCATGGCATGCCTTCACACACTCAGCCTAGCTTAGCTGTTCTTTCTACTCTTTCCTGGGGACTGCCACTGAGTGCTTGAGTTGTGATGGGGCTAACTAGGTCCCACTCCCTCAGGCAGTGGATCTMATTCTAGCATGGCAGGGAGGATAGTATAATAGAATGAGTACCAAGTAAGTATGTGCATGAATCAAGGATTCATAGGCATTGTGGCAAGAAGGCCCAGCAGGGCCCTGATGTCATATGCCGTCCCATGGGGTGAAGGATTTTGTTAGTGAAGTAGGAAAATGAGAAGGTTATCATGTGAAGACCCTGTGGAGACATGGCAGATTTCTGAAAGGAGGGCAACAGGAAGACAAGGTGATCCACTGGGGGAAAAGGCAATCACAGTGTTTACAGAGGCACCAGCAGGAGCCAGGAAAAGGGAAGGGGGAAAAGAATGAGAGTTCTTTGAATGTTTTCCCATCTGTGCATATTATCAGATTCSATCTCAGAAGGGACAAGTGAGGTCTCTGTGGTAATCTAATTCATGATGAGAATACTTTTAAGTTGAAGATCAAAATCCTCTACCCACAGGGATAAGAAGAGCCAGATTCCACACGCACAACTACCCAGCAGGCTCTGTGGCTGCCTTTGTAGATCATCACTGCCAGGACTCAGGGCTTCCAGGGACTTTGAGTAAATGTCCACCCAAGCCAACTGCCTTCCCTTATTTTGGTTTCAGAATTCTTTTACGTTTGAGCATTGTGTCGACATTAGTAAGACAAGTATAAATGACTTGGCAGATACCAAGAGACAGTCACAGCTCAGGCAATATCTTAGAACAGGTTCCCTGGGTCTGTTTTGATTTTAGGAGAGAAAAACCCTTCATACAGTGGCATTTACTCTGAGCCTGTGCTGGGTCAGCATCTGCCTCTATTTTTTTTTTTTTCCTCTTTGGGCAAGAGGGATATGATTTGCTGGCCTTTCTTTCTTAACTTGCAGTTTAAAGTACCACATCAGATGGACAACTTCTAAAATCAATCAGCAAGCAGTTATTTTTTTGCCCTCCAGGTGCCCAGAACTGGGATGGCCAGATACTGACACAGATGAAACCTCAAAGTGTAATTTAGTTCTCAACTTTACAGTAAAAGATGTAAATGTTTCAGGTGTGAGAGGAAAAGTGGGCTAAATTGGTCCAGAGAAGGGACATGGGCAGGATGTTGGAGTGGAAGAGGGGATGGGAAGAAGGGAAGGATTCCAGACAGCAGCCAGACATGAATGAAGGCCAGGGCCAGGGATGGGCCCGGAGTGGGCTAGGTACATTTGCAGAAAGGGGAGAAATTATTCCTAGAGCAGAATACAAAGAGAAGAATGAAGCTTGGTTTTAGGGTCCTGAAAACCATGTGCTGGGTATTATTATTGACCAGACAGAAGCAGAAATATTAAAAAAAAAAAAAGCAGGAATGTTTCAATGCTTTAGAAGGAGGAACACTTGGACAGATATGTGTCCTGGTGCACAGGTTGTGGGAGAAAGTCTGGTCTGGCCACAGTGTTGTAAGGCAGCCTGAGGGAGAAAAGCTTGAGGCCAGAAATCCAGGGATACAGGTGCCTAGGAAGGGAGAAAAGAGGGTTTAATCCAGAGTGAAAGTAGAAAGAACAGGCAAGAACACATTCTTAGAGAACCAACAGAGTTAATGACTATCTGAATGATATCATCATGCGTCACCTTCCGCCATGATGTAGGACAAATGTTAGGGCTCCCTGAGCAAGTCGGGGCTGGTGGAATTGGATCAGCTGATTTTGATTGGCAAAGCAAACAACTAGCCAAGAGAAATGTAGTGTGCTAAAAATAATCACATCTGCAATTTATTTAACATCCACAATGTGTTAGATTTTAACATTCTTCTCTTTAATCTTTCCAGGAACCTCTCTAGATAGGTATCATGATCCCAGATAATGAGGGGTAATGTCCTTATCCCCAAACCCAGAACAGGTGTAAAGTGGCCATTCAAGAAATGGGTGTAGTGTGGATGAACACTAAGAAACCAAGGCTCAAAGGTGACACAGCCTGCTGCTGAGTTTTAGAGCTAGAATTCAGTTCAGGACTGTTTGAGCTACTTGATCCACTTTCTTTATTCTGTGATGAAGTCTTTGAAGGCATTCAGGTGGTGAGAGATCCCTGCAGACAACATCAGCCTAATACTGAGAATTCATTCATGAGCCATCTTCTAAGGGAGGAAATGGAGAGATTGAAAGATTCTCTTCAAATTTTCTCCCCCAATACATATCAGAATGCTGAAATTAACAAGTATCAGCAAGGTCCCTGTAAGTAAATGCCAGGCTGGGTCACAAGGGAAGACTCATCTGAGCAGAGAATAAGCCTAAGGAGTTATTTGACAGGTATTTAGTTTAGGTCTCTGTTGTCTCAGAGCCACCCCCCGCAACCTCACCCCCTTCCCATACCTTCAACATCAGAGCCCAAGAGCATCAGCACTCCTGGGATGTACTTTGCTTTTACTTAGCAACAGTATTATGTTCCTGGAGCACATCTCAAGAGCCCACCTGACACTTTCACATCCATTAACCGTCCTCACACTCCCCTGGAGGAGGCCAAGCCAGCCCAGCTCAGAAAGGTTTGGAAATTTATTCCTAGGATCCCACCCCTCTGTAGCCAACCAAGGCTAGAGGACAGGTCTTTTAATCACCTTTCACTGTAGAAAATTTGGAAACACACCAAAAAAAAAAAAAAAGCACTAAGAAAATTAAAATCATCTAATCACTACCAAGAAGTCACCACAGTTAACATCTCAATGTATTTCCTTCCAGACATTCTTCAACTTTTTCAAAAACAGTACCATGCTTTATGTACCCATTCTTTTTTTTATTTCTTTTTATTCTACTCATGTACTTATTTATTCTTATGTGGTGTTGAGAATCGAACCCAGTGCCTCACACATTCTAGGCAAGCACTCTACCACTGAGCCACAACCCACTCCATCTGTGTACCCAAGTGTCTTTCCTCACACTTATTTTGATTTCGTGCCCCATGCCCTGACCCACACTGCAGGTGTCTGAAGGCTTTCTCACTCTTTTCTCCTAGTATGGGTTCCTGTGAACGACAACGACAGTGCTGTGGTCCTGCAGGCCTTTGACAAGAACAAACACTCAGTGGGCTTCTGGCAAGACGCAGATGAGGACTGCAACAGCAGTGCTCTGTATCACGTGACCAGCTTCAAGCGCCCACTCCTCAAGGCAAACTGGATAGTCTCTGGTTCTGAAGACTTAACTGAAGTTGAGCTGCAGTAAGTACTTGTCTCACTTTGCTTTGGGTTTTTAGACTTTTATTTGGGTCTTTGCAGTTTTACATTGACCCAGAAGATTAAAGCACAATCTGGATGCAACGCAGAGAAACCAGAAGTGGTGCTTCTTTTCTGCTTACCATTCTCTGCCTTGCCTTTCACCTGTGCATATGCATACAGGCATGCACGCGCATGCATGTGCATACATACACACACACACACCACCACCACCACCACCACCACACCAGTTATGTTCCACATAAACAGAGAAAACTGGGCACCATTTTTCTTTCAGATTCTCTATATGCAAACTAGAGAATCAATATTTAAAACACAGATTCATTTTGGAAACGGCTTAGTAACAGGAAGGTGGTGATTGTGTAATAGAAACAGGTTTCCCACTGTCACAGAAAATGGATGCCATCAGATTCTGAGGTGAGGCTACTTAAAGCTAGCATGACATTTGAACAACAAACCTTCCTCCCAGCTCTKGATTTGATATGAGCTTTACCTTAGGAACCAAGTGCTGGGATGTGTTTGTGTTCTCATGCTGTCATTTTGTACTGAAAGGGCAGGCCTGACTACCAGGCTATGTCCACTGTGAACAGCCCAGTTTCTGGCAGCTGGTGACCCTGATGGTGAGTCTGTTGGGCTGTTTTGCTCTCTCCAGTCATGCTCTGGCCTGGTCTAACTTAATTGGTTTCGGAGGAGGGACTACAATGCCCACAGGGTGACATACAGGAGCAGAAGCCCAAGGGAACTGCTACTGTTCAGTCTCACAATRACAGCAGTTGCTTAGAAGCCAGCCAAGCCTAATTAGAATAAGAACTTTCCTCCCATCTCACCTCATTAAAGCCTCCACACCCCATGCAACAACAGAAAAAGGACCAAAATGACAATCTGCAAGAGAAACAGCACAATCCCACTGACAGCCTGGTCTCAAACCCYTCTAACTCACACACCCACTAGAACACGCCAGCCTCTGCTCATTCACAATGTACACACTACTCTCATGGCCTTGATGGGCAAGACTGACTCTAAGGGAGGGAAAGACAGGACATAGGTGACTCCACTGTGGTGGGCACTGAGCTGAGTAGGGCAGAAAGGGAATGTGAGGAGGTCCCAGCCTGTGGAAGTTCACTGTGAGGTCAGAGAGACAAAGTCCAGACACCTCAGCGTCCCCTGTACTTCTCCCCTGATGGAGATCTGTCTGGGTTAGGAACAGGGAGAAATGACTTCATAGAAAAAGTTACTATTGAGCCTATAGACAGGTACAGCCAGGAGACATGTCACCAGGTGTTATAGACAGAGCAACTGTCTTGAACAAAGACKAGAGACGTGTACTAGCCTGTGAGGAATTCAGCCTGGTGAAGCTGGTGGGGATGGGGAATGGGAAAGGCTGTCTGGAAGTAAGACCTTGAAGGATACTAGTCAAGACAACATAGAGCAGACCGRTATTGAATGATCTGCTAATTGTGTCATGGAGAAAATCAGCACAAAAGAGGTGAAGAGGGTGGGGTGCCCAGGAAAGGCAGAGATGTGAGCTGAACTTGTGTATCCTGCAGCTGAGATCCTCACCATCTGTCTCACTAAATTTCCCTCCATAGAGTCTTCACTGTCAATTTCAACCGGACGGCTACAGTTTCTTCTCTGAAACTAGGAGGAAAAGGTGAGTTCCTCTGAGGCCCATTTGCATTTTTGGCAGTATACTCAATTGGCCAGGAAAATTACTTTGGGGGGGGGGCTAGGAAAAAAAGGCACCGCTTATTATGTATTACCCAGATATCAGTTGAGTATCCCGGTATCTAGGAGCCTCTATAAGATTTGCTCAAACTCTTACCTCATGCCCTTTGGAAAATAAAGCCCTCACCAAGATCTCTATAAATTCCTAAAGGCCTTATAGTCTCCTAGTTACTGTGACTCCAAACTCCTATTTCCATAGGATCTGTTTTTATCCAATATTATATAGACATCTATATGAAAATCAGCATCCTTTTCCATTTTCACAGAGAATCTCCTCCCAYACAGAGCCTTCATTGGGTAGAGTAGACAATTGGCCAAAGAATGTCAAATGGGGGTGAGGATGGGAGTGGAGAGTTATACCAAAAAAAGTTGATATTATAGAAATATAGATAATTTTTCTGGATGCAGGGGTACATGTCTATAATTCCAGTAACTCAGGAGGCTGAGGCAAGAGGATCTACATTTAGAAGGCAGACAGCAATTTGGAGAGACCCTTATCAATTTAGCAAGACTCAACCTTACTCCTTCCTGAGATTCCTCACCTATCTTCTCCCTTCTCTGTCCCCTTCCWTTTCTCTTGCCTCCTTGTACTTTTAACTCCCAGTAGGGAGTTAAACTCAAGAAAGGAAGTTCAGAAAACATGCAACTTGCCTAAGATGACACAGAAAATCTAGAGCAAAATAAGATCTTCCATTCTACATTTTATACTGTTTTTCACTTTTCTCACACTTACATTAAAACTAAAAAAAAAAGATAATCTTGTCCGATGAAATGTTTAAACATAAGATTCACCCAAGAATGAGAAACATTAGTCTTTCTCAGTGTCCAGATAACAGGACTTCCTCAGGAGCCCAGAGCACTGAAAGACATCCAGCATGCTGCCTATTTTCCTGCCAGTCATGCATTGCAAAATGTGCTCAAAGGGAATAATTATTTCCAACAACAAATTTTAAAGTGATTATGCCTAATGAAACTATTATATGAAAGTCTTCACTGTTTCCTTGGTGGCTTTCCCTCTATGAGAGAACTGGGATGTTATTTTCTTCCTCGAGGACATTTTTGAGATGAATACTTATGTAAATGCTAAGAAGGGGAGGGGAAGTTGTTTCTAATTAGGCCCCCCTAGCTTTATGTTAATAAAAATCCAGTTTAAAAAAAAAAGAAAGTGGTTATGTTCCAACTCTTTGGCTCCACAAAATGCCAGAGAATATTTGTCCTAGGGAAATGTTAAATGAGATAAGTCAATGCCACCAAACTGGAAAGCACACCCCATGCGGGTGGAAGACTGCCTTGGCCTGGGTGAATTATTGGACATTGCCCTTCTTCCTCATCCTGTAGTTCCCTCTGTGGTCCACTCAAACCCTACTACTGCCAAGTTCTAATTTTTCTAGGATCAGACAAGCCCCCAGGACTACAAGTCTGGCTTTCTCTGCAAGACAACCTCAGAGAACCAATGCCTGGTCATGTCCCTGCATGTGAAAATAACCAGAGTTTCACAAACCAGAGCCAGGGGTTTCCATTAGTTTTAAAGCAGTTAAAGGTCTAAATGATATCAACTTCTCTCAAGTTCTTGACTTTAGCAAGAAGAATAAAGGTCTGCCACTCTGGATCATATTTGCCCTGATTAATCGAATATTAAAGACATAAAGATATCTGAGGGCAGACTACCCGCCCCAACAATAAATTCAGCAGTCATATTTATTCAGTAGGTCTCCCCCTCACCTTGCAGGGCTGTGCACACCTCAGGGTGGAGGCTTATTTTTGTACTTAACACTCTACCCCCAGCTGTCCCCTCCTCTGCACATACCTGGCACTGGAGAGTGTTGACTGCATTTTACTCATGAACTCTGGTGCCGGAGTTCTGTCAGGTGAGCTGCTTTCTTCTGGTACCCACCCACCATGCAGTAGAGGTTCTGAGGTCATCAAGTTTTTTGTTTGTTTGTTTGTTTATTTTTTTCCAGTGACAGCCACACCCTGGACCTCCAACCACATGAACAGCCTGACCACAATCCCGACCATAACCAAGACCACAGCCAACATCACAACCAATACCACCACCAAGACCACCACCAAGACCACCACCAGGACTACAAACATGACTACAACCATGACTACATCCAGGACCACATCCAGGACCACATCCAGGACCACAACCCCAGCCACAACGAAAAGCTTGGCCGTCAGAGCACTCAGCAGTCCTATTGCAGGTGCCATCCACATCCTGCTTGTTTTTCTCACCAGCAAACTCCTCTTCTAAAGCAAACAGTGATGGCTCCCCCTGCAGCGCATCCCTCCATGCTCAGCTCCCATGCCTGCCACGGCTGGACTGTGTGAGTGAAGGCTCCGCATTCTCCAGTGTGCACCCCGCTGCCTCTGCCTCAGACCACAGACCTAGGGCACCCTCTGGTGTATCTGGGTCACACAGATGTTCAACTGGGTCTTTCAGGACACAAATTCTGCTTTTTGTAAATACTTAGACCTCCTCTGACTATCACTGGAGTTCTGCCTCTCAGTTTAACACGTTGACAGCCAACCTGAGCTTTTATTCATTACCAAAGGATTCCTTTGCCCTCCTCCCCAGCCCCACCCCAGTTTCTGGGGGAAGAACCCATTCTTCTTTTTAAGACAATCTCAGATTTCTGATCAAACCTGCTCAGGTAACTCATGGATGAAAGGGAAAGGAGATATAGTCCTGAAGCTACTGGCAGCTTCCATTCTTATTCACACCAGTAGCTTTTGAAGGGCAAGAGAATAAGAAGATACAAAGTCTGAACAGGAAAAAAAAAATGACAGGAAAAATTATGTCAAAAAAGGCATTTTTTTCCTAAGTTACACCAACTAAATGATACTCCAAATAAACGTGATGAATGTGTTAAATTCAAAGATAAGTCTTTAATGAATGATTAATATTAAAAAAAACAGAAAATTCTAGTTTTATTCATTTATGTATGAAAAAACTTATGGAATGAGTGTGTGTATGTCTTCAAGGTCAAACCTAAGGATAAATTTATCTTGGTTTTCATTTTCCCAAGTACAAACTTGTCATTTTCCTCTTAGTAGTTTTCCACTAAAAAAAGGGGGGGTGGGGAGCAAAATACAATATTTATAGTACAATATAAAACAACAACAAAAACCCATGGCATTTCCAGTAACAAGCTTAAAATAAGCAGCAAAGTTTTCTTTTAATAAGTATGCTAAGTTCCAGGGTGCCAGCACTCTCTCCTGATCCCTAAAATCATGTGCCTTGTGCAAGTTTGGACTCCATGTTTCCCTCTCCTCCTTAGAACATTCGGATGATATTCCTTACCACTCCCTGTTGTTTGGGACTGAAGAAAGCCCCACTGCAAATACTCAAGTCTGCTTATTCATTAAGGCTTGGCTTCATGAGTAACCTGCCACAGAGACAGGTTGGCTGTGATTCTTTTCTAGTGTCCAAAAAGGTCACTAAACAATTAATTTTCCCATCCAAAAATTTCCATCTACTAATTTAGGGGCTGGAAAAAGTGGTGTGCTCCTAAGCTCTTCAGAGGTAATGCTCCTGAATTTGGTGCCACACCAACCTGAGGGAGAAGTAACAATGGTTCCTGCAAAAGGCTGAGCAATTTTATGGGATGAGGAAGAGCCCATAAATATCCATTTGTCAACATTTCTCTTACACTTCATGATTGTTAATATTTAACACCATAAGAAATATACTAGTTTTTGTACTCTAAAATTTCCTGCTTCGGTAAATATTTCAACCCTCTCCCCTTAGAAAATATATAAAAAGAATCTTACCACACTGTAGTCCATATGTATAACACTTTTCTGATCTCGACAATGGCCAGCCCCAAATGCATCAGGTTCAATTATCAACAAATATATATGGAGCATCTACTACCTGCTACATATTGTTCTAGGCTCTTGCAWAAGGCGAGGATCCCTTCCCCAGTGGATCCCAGCCTCAAACTTTCCTCATAAAGTTTTCAATTCTTAAACATCTTCTATGTACAAATGCTGTTAGGTGCTTTTACACATGCCACAGGTAATATCCTCACACAAACACACTTACCTGATGATTATCGATATTTTTAAAGATTAAAAAAAACCTGAAGTTCAGAGAAGTCATGTAAGTGGCCTCAATCACAGAGCTGGAAAAAGTCAAAATAGGAATATAGACCTTCAAAACCTCAGATTTCCATTTAACCACGATGCCCTGAGTTGGCACTGAYCCTACAGTCAACACTTGCCCTGATTCCTTGTGTGAGTGTATAGCAACAGCAATAATAGTAGCAGTGATGACTATTCAGTATATAGTAGCCATTGTTCTAACATGTCTCCATGTGTGCCTCTCTGGGTTTGTCCTTGGAGTTTGTTAAAGTTTCTCGAATGTGGAAATTCATGACTTTTATCAACTTTGGTAAGTTGTCAACCATTCTCTTAGCATCCTTCTCTCCTCTCCTTCTAGAACTCTAATTATGCATRTATTGGTACACTTGATGGATCTCACAGGTCTTTGAGACCTTGTTCATTTTTCTTTTTTTTTTTAATTGTTGGTCGTTCAAAACATTACATAGTTCTTAATACATCATATTTCACAGTTGGATTCAAGTGGGTTATGAACTCCCAATTTTACCCCGTATACAGATTGCTGTATCACATCAGTTACCCTTCCATTGATTGACAAATTGCCTTTCTAGTGTCTGATGTATTCTGATGTCTGTCCTATTCTCTACTATCCCCCCTCCCCTCCCCTCCCTTGTTCATTTTTCTTCATTCTTTTTTCCTCCTTCTCTTCAAACTGAATAATTTCAACTGACCTGTCTTCAAATTCACTGATGCAATAACCTCATCTGTTCAAATCTGCTGTTGAACCTCTCTAGTGAATTTTCTATGTTGGCTATTATACTTTTCAACTCCAAAACGTCTACTTGGTTTCTTGTTATAATTTCTAGCTATTCATGGTAGGCTCTGTTATTCAGATGTCATTTTCCTGGTTTCATGTAATTCTTTGTCTATGGTCTCCTTTTGCTCTTTCAGTGTATTTAGGACAGTTAACTTAAGTTTTTGCTTAGTAAACTAGTCTCTGCCAGTTACTAGGCTTCCTCAAGGACAGTTTTGTCAATATTTTTTTCCTTTGGCTGGACTATACTTTCCTGTTAGAAACAACAATTGCCTATCTACCCAAAGGAATTCTGAGGAAGTAGGAAAGAAAATTGTGTGTGTGTTGTTTTCTTTGTAGGAGAAAAATAGCTGCTGTGGGGATAAATGAGTTAATATATATAAAGCATATAGAACAGTGACTGGCACAACATAAGCACTATCTAAATATTATACTTTAATGCCTGAAAGGCATGTACTGATCGTGCAATAAACACACTGATCATGCAGGAGTGCTTCAGTAGGAAGAGGAGAAACTGGCAGTCAGGCAAGAAGAAAGGAGCTATGTAATCTGAAGGAGCTATGTAACCCTTTCTTCCTCCGGCCCCATTAATACTCTGTCCTTTACCCCAGTGCCAATCAAATAACGAGGACAAGGTTTTGAGAAGAAGGAAAACAAAGTTTTAATGATTTGCTAGCAAAGAATGCAGTAGACTTGGGTCTCAAGCCTGAGATTCTCTCCACCAGGAGGAACACCAGGAGGAATACAAAGGCTTGGGATCCAAATATCAGTAGATATAATTACTTAGTGTCCATCGGCTGTCCTTGGGAGAGCTTTGAGAGAGTGCTCTAGCTGCCAGGTGTGGAGTCTCTTTATTCTGTGGGCAGTGTATCACTGTGGGTAGTGAAGGACAAGAGAGCTTAGCCTATGGGAGAAACGTTAGTCTTGTTTCCCCCACTGCTAGGGAGGAGGAGATGGTAAGATAAAGAAAAGTTTGTTTGTTTGTTTGTTTTTGTTTTTTAAAAAGTCAGTTTTAAAATAAGCCACCTGTGGTTGAGCAGCAAGGTTTATATTGGAAGCATTAAGTGTTACATTTGCCCACTGTCAAATTTTACCTTCCATTTCTATGAGAAAATAGGTGATGACATCTCCAAGCTTGCTGAAAATGGGTGACAAAAGGGCTCCTTAGACTGGGGAGATTTTACCTGTTATTGTTATTTTGTTTTGTGAGATTTTACTGGAAGGGATGAACATGTAATATTAACCTTAGTGGGGACCTGGGAGAAGCAGGTCTGTGTACAGCAGTTATGATTTGACTGATTTATTGTATATACTTATTTTAGTCAGCTTTTTCATCACTGTGACCAAAACATCTGACAAGGACAATGTAGAGGAGAAAAAGTTTATTGGGGGCTCACAGTTTCAGAGGTTCAATCCATGATCAGCTTACTCCATAGCTCTGGGCCCAAGATGAAGGCGAACATCATGGCAGAAGTGCATGGGGGGAGAAGACAGCTCAGAACCCTGCAACAGGAAGCAGAGAGAGCTCCATTCATCAGCGACAAAATATAAGCCCCAAGGTCACACTCCCAGGTCACACCCTTGTAACTACTACCTGCCTATAGTTACCACCAAGTTAATCTATATCAGTAAATTAAACCACTGATTAAATTAAGGCTTTCAAACCCAATCATTTCACCTCTGAAAAATTCTTGCATTGTCCAACACATGAGCTTTTGGGGGACACATCATATCTAAACCATAACAACACTGTTTTTATCTAGTGGGGTATTTTCTGTTACAGCCATATTTTCCCCTCTTCCCCTGGGGTACCAGGAAGGGTCTGCCATACACTATTATAGGGGCTCAATGTAAGCCCACTTCTGGGGGCTACTGGTATTCAGAGGAGAGCACTTGGCAACACCTTATCCCATCACAAATGATTGTTTTAGCATAACTTAGCCATTCTTTTCCTAAAGTTGATTCATTTTGTCCATTTTTTTTCTGTAGATTGGGATCTTCAGGATGCATGTAACTTTGTTGGATATCCAATGCTTTGCTTACTTGTTGAGTCACTTTTGTAATGAAACATGATTCATTGTCACTCTGCATTGAAGAGGGGAGACTGTATCTTGGGATCAGCTCCTTTAAGAGGATGTTTACTATCTCCAAAGCTTTTTCTGTTCTGGTAGATAGCCTTAATTTATCCTGAGAAGGTGTTTATCACTACAAGCAAATGTCCGAAGTTTCCCCTGGCATTGGGAATTTGGATAGAATCTATCTGCCAATCATCAGAAGACTGAATTCCTATTGAATAAGACTGAATTCATATTGTGTTCCTTTTACAGAAGGCCTGCCTTTTAGTTTATGGATTGTTTCTGGTACATAAGAGACAGTTCTGAGTCACCTGCTGAATTATCTGTTGAATGTGAGCCCTTACAAGGACTTGAAATTCACCAGGGCACCTTCTGGCTGCCCTATCAGCATCCCTCCCACAGTGAATACTCTCATGTAGGTGTTTTCCCAAGCACCACATCAGTGCTTCCAGC